TGGCAGTTGGGGGGAGGTGGAGGGATTGGAAGTAGGGTGGGATGTGGGGGGCTCAGGTGGGATGTGGAGAATGGGGGATGCTCTGCTGGGCAAGTATTTCTCACTTGTTTCTCTCTCCCTCCCCTCCTCCCCCCAGTTTATACTTTGGGCAAAAGAGTAGGAGGTGTCTCCAAATCAGTCAGTGTCCCATGACCCTGGGTTTGCTCTTTGCTGGAGGTGGAGGGATTGGAAGTAGGGTGGGATGTGGGGGGCTCAGGTGGGATGTGGAGAATGGGGGATGCTCTGCTGGGCAAGTATTTCTCACTTGTTTCTCTCTCCCTCCCCTCCTCCCCCCAGTTTATACTTTGGGCAAAAGAGTAGGAGGTGTCTCCAAATCAGTCAGTGTCCCATGACCCTGGGTTTGCTCTTTGCTTCCTCTCTTTCCACCTCTAATTTATTGTCACTGACTCTGCATTTGGGAAGAGTCTGTCTTAGATTTGCACTTTTCTCTGGGGTGAGATGTTTACTAGTGAGATCATTCTGGCCCTGGTGCTACAGCCATCTCACTTGGTTTGTATCTGTTTTAGTGTTTTTAGCATCACTATCATGGAGGGTGGAGGGGGTTTGCTCCACTGAATGGGAGATTAATACTGTAGCTTATATTTGTGAGCTGATTTTAGCTTTTCATCCTCTTCTACTCTGCTGTCGATGGAATGCTTGCTGTTTTGATTGAGTATTCTCTTGTGTGTCAATTAGGAGTAGGTTTCTACTGGTAATTTTTTGCCAGCTAGTGTAGTTGATTGGTAAAACAGGGCCCAAACCTTTGCTCTTATATAGTAGGATATGTTGGATTAAGGTCTTAAGTAACTGGAGTAGTAAAAGCAAAATGCAGGACAATGTAGCACTTTAAAGACTAACAAGATGGTTAATTAGATGATGAGCTTTCCTGGGCCAGACCCACTTCCTCAGATCAAATAGTGGAAGAAAATAGTCACAACCATATATACCAAAGGATACAATTAAAAAAATGAACACCTATGAAAAGGACAAATCACATTTCAGAACAGGAGGGGGATGCGGGGGGGGGGGAAGGAAGGAAGGTAAGTGTCTGTGAATTGATGATATTACAGGTGGGGAGAGTGGGATGTCTGTGAGCTAATGGTATTAGAGATGATAATTGGGGAAGCTATCTTGGTAAAGGATTCCCTTTCAAGTGCAGATGTAAAAGGTCTTTGTAGCAGAATGCAGGTGGTTAAGTCATTGAGAGAGTGTCCTTTCTGGTTAAAATGGCAAGAAACTGTTTTCTCTTTGTGATCTTGTCTGATATCTGTTTTGTGGGCATTAATCCTTTGGCGAAGTGTCTGAGATGTTTGTCCAATGTACATAGCAGACGGACACTTTCGGCACATGATAGCATAGATTATATTTCTGGATGCGCAGGAATATGTGTTCTTGATCTTATAACTCACTTGGTTAGGTCCAATAATGGTATCAGCAGAATGAATATGTGGACAAAGCTGGCAACGGGGTTTGTTGCAAGGGAAGGTACCAGGGTTGGTATTAGTGTGGTATGTCCTGTGGTGGTTGGTAAGAATCATCTTGAGGTTAGGTGGTTGTCTATAGGAGACTATGGGTCTGTCTCCCAGAGCCTCTTGGAGTATGGTATCCTGTTCCAGTATAGGGTGTAGTTTATTGATAGTGTGTTGGACAGGTTTAAGTTGGGGGTTGTAGGTGATGACAAGTGGTGTTCTATTGTTGGTTTTCTTGGGTCTGTCTTGAAGTAGATGGTTTCTAGGTATTCGTCTGGCTCTTTCAATTTGCTTTTTTGTTTCTCTGGGTGGGTAGTTGAGATTTATAAATGCTTGGTAGAGATCCTGAAGCTTCTGGTCTCTGTCAGTGGGGTTAGAGCAGATGCGGTTGTATCGAAGGGCTTGGCTATAGACGATGGATCATGTGGTGTGTTCTGGATGGGAGCTGGAATCATGAAGGTAACTGTATGAGTCGGTGGGTTTTCTGTAGAGAGTGGTGTCTAATTTTCCATTGTTGATTTGTACTGTGGTGTCCAGGAAGTGGATCTCTCATGTAGAATGGTCCAGGCTGAGGTTGGTGGTGGGGTGTAGGTTGTTGAAATCTCTGTGGAATATCTCCAGTGTTTCTTGGCCATGCGTCCAGATCATAAAGATGTCATCGATGTACCATAGGTAGAGAAGGGGTGAAAGGGGACGGGAGTTGAGGAAACGTTGTTCTAGGTCAGCCATAAAGATGTTAGCATACTGTGGGGCCATGCGTGTACCCATGGCTGTGCCGCTGATCTGAAGGTATAAGTTGTTCTCAAACTGGAAATAATTGTGGGTGAGAACAAAGTTACATAGGTCTGCTATCAGGTTGGCAGTAGTGTCCTCCAGATCAGCGGCATCTTATAAATTCTTCAGTTTTTCACTCTTATAGTTTTTCACTGTTATAGTTCCCCAAAAGCTTTTATTTTGGAGGGCTAGGTTTGTATAATTAAATGTATTCTGCTTCTACATTCAGAATGTTGGCTGGTTGTTTTTTGGGAAGTGTATGAGTGGGGAATTGGGATTGTTGGATGTCTTTTTAGCAGCTTGCAGAATAACTTGAGTGTTGCAGTATATTTCTAAAAGGTATTAATTCTTACATAGGAGATAATATGGTTTATCATCCTTTTTTAGGATGCTTGTTTTCCTTCTGAGTGGGTTAGTGGAAATCCTAGGTTAGGTAGCTGTTTCAGTAGGGTTGGCACATGCCATAATAGGTCAAACAGATGGTCCATCTTGTCTAGTTGCCTGTCTCCAACAGTTGTCCATATCAGAGCTTCCAATGGGAGTGTACAGAACAGAGAAATTATGGAATAATACTTTCCTGTCTTGCATTGCTGGCTTTATGCAATTGGGAGCTGGTAGAGATCTGATGTGCAGGGAAAAAAGAGTAAGGCAATTGTTTAATATTTGTGCACTTTGCAAAAGCAGTAAAGATTTACTAGGGTGTCAGGACAATGTTGTTGGAGGAGTGGGCATGTGAGGTATATTCATATGGCAGGACAGAGGATTTATAGCAATTCTGCAACTCTGTTTACAGTTGGACAATGGGTTGTCCTTTTTTGTCCCTCTGTCTTTCAGTGGCATCCTGAGCTGCTCCTGTGATAAAGATAACCAGGCTTGGACACATTGTCTCTTTAGGCCAGACGTAGCAGAGACAGAAGACGTTCGCTTCTCCATTCCAGGGTCCCTCTATCCTTAGACATGGCAGGTGGCATTACTGACACAGGGGAGCTGTATTCTCCTTACGTGAGTATTACCACGGTTGCACCACTGCTGCTTATTCAGTGCTTTTCTTCCCAACCTGGGTTATGCTCAGGGCATGTTGTTAATTCACTTTGTCGTTCCTAGGAAACAAGGTAATTAATGTTAAAGTTGTAAGGAATGCTAGAAGATATTAAGGTAAGGGCTAGGTATGTTAAGGGCTAGTCAATTCCTCTCCTTTGCTGCCTCTATCAGAGGCAGAAAAGGGGACTAAGAAGTCAGCATTTCAAAGGGGCAACTGCCAAGGAGACCAGGGTCAGCTGGGGACTCTCCAGCTGACCCTAGGTTCCAAGAGACATTTCTCTAGAACCCGGGATCAGCTGGGGACCCATCTGACCCTGGGTTCCACTGCTTCGTGGAGCCCAAGATCAGCTGGAGAGTTCCCAGCTGACCCCAGGCTCCAGGCGCTGCCCTTTTGAAACACCAGATGTGGCGTTTTAAAGGGGCAGCTGCTGCACAGCTAATCTGTGGGACACAGTCAACCTAATATTTAATTGGTTTGAAAAAATGAGTTTAAGGTAGTTTGATAGTACACCTTCCCTGAAGCTCCCTTACCCATTTTTATGGCTTTACTTCCACATTCAAAAAAAAAAAAATTGCCTTCTCTCTCGATTCTGTGTGAAAGACTAGCACAAATAGGTGCAACTGGGTGGGACGCTGAAATTCACTGTTTACAAAGCATTGTCAAATATAAAAAGAAAACAAGACGAAAACTTAAGGGGAAAATCTTTTTCCTCTGATCTGTAGGCTAGGCATTTTTATATACAGGCAGTCCCCGACTTACGCGGATCCGACTTATGTTGGATCCGCAGTTACGAACGGGGCTCCCCCGGAGGACATGGACTGCGGGACCTCGCGGTCCTGCCGCCCGTGTACTCTGGGGCTTTCTCCGCGTCTCCCTGGTCTGCAGACCAGGAAGACGCGGAGCAAAGCCGCGGGGGGGCTCGGGCAGCGAGGCAGCCCAGGCGCGCCTGGCCTCCTCCGCTGCCGGCTTCCCTGAGGCTTTGCAAAGCCGCAGAGGGGCTCGGGCAGCGAGGCTTCCCTCCGCGGCTTTGCCGGCTTCCCTCCGTGGCTTTGCAAA